GAGGGTAGAACCATATTTTTCAGATTATAAAGCACACCGGATTATAAGGCGCATTAAGCGAAACAAAACAGTCAGATAAGTCAAACGTTACTCAACTCATTCTTTTTGCTTCCTCTATTTCCATACCATTGATTCATTAATGTTGAATTCTCTCGCAGCTGCTCTATTCCCATGTTCTGGTCCTGAAAACAGGGTTTGATCTTTGGTTTCCTTCTATAACACTGGACTTATTTTTCTACGAAGGTTTGAACTTTGAGAGTGTTTAAACAAGAGAGAAAAGTGTGAGAATGTTCATGCCTGTCTGAGAAAAGTGTATAAAGTGCGTAGTGAGGGGTTTTCCAGCCTTAAAACATCAATAATAATTGTAAAAGAATAAAGCTGGCTACTTTGCGGATTTCACCTATCGTGGGTTATTTTTAGAACATAACTCCCGCGATAAACGAGGGACCACTGTATTATATAATTTTTTAATTATTGTGGAAATGGAAATGCAAGAAATTGAAAGGAAAAAAGATTACTGTGAACTCACCGCTGTGGCAAGCAAAAAGTGATAGGGGAGGAACTGCATCCGAAGGACGTCATTGAATTTTCGGATGCAGTGAAGCTCTATTCCGTTAGAGTCGTAGATATAAAGCCACTTCTTCTGAGCCACTGCATACATAGCCTCGGTATGAAGCCACCTAAACAAAGGCAGAAATTTGTTTTAGTCTGGAGAAGATGATCAAAGTTTTATTTCTGCTTTATGTTTCATGAAGGCGGATGACTTACTTCACATCATTGACAGACTCCATCACATTTATCTCACACATCAGCTGTTTCGACGCCCAGTCTATACAAGCAACATGGCCTCTCCTCCCACCAAGCAGCAGGTGACTGAAGTGAAGAGAACATAAATATTTGCAAAACCTAAACTTATGAAGTCTCTCTATTTATATCTAAATAAATCTATTTACTGTAAAAACAGGAAATGATCATTCAGTTCTGCAGGTTCACCTCAGCTGTGGTTTAATTTCTTTCCATGTCTTTGTTTTAATTTCCAACATTGTTGATTTGCACTCTCAGCCTTTAGTAACAGGTTTTTTTTTTCAAGCACAGAGAATCTCAGAAAAGCTTAAAGAAAGGAAAAGTTTATTTCCTTTGCTTGTACTAACTGGTGAGTGTGCCACTTAGCAAAGAAGCTAGAAATAATGAAGGCCTAATGTCGAAATCTACTTTTGTCAGGAAGACAGAGTTGGAAATAAATATGTACGTTTCATATCTGCTTAGAAGATTACAAAGGTTATAAAGGATACTTAGCATTTCCTCTAGAAACGGTGAGTCGTCCTGCCAAGCCCATCGACAACTTAGGTGGACTTGACATAAATCAGTGTTTTACAAAAAAAAAAAAACAAACCCAAAAAACCCCCACCACTACATGAAGGAGCAATTTGTTAAATGTTAAACCATCTGCTGATATATTGGCCTTTTAAATCACTAAATATCAGTTTCTCTCCACAAGAGAGAGACAAAACACTTCACACAGATAAGCATGTGCTGCATGATATTGCATGATACTGACCGTCCAGTCTTGCTGTAATCCAATCGATACGGTCCAAACTGAGACAGTTTCAGATTAAAATACTGAGGAGGAGAAGATAGCAAGAAATGAACAACACTCACTCTGCAGAATCTCTTCCCGTGACAACTCCATAGCAAATTTATGTCTACGGTTGGAACTGAACCAGCAAACCTTTGCTTGCAAAATAAATGTGTTAAATAGTAATAGTAATAATAATGTAGCTTGCCATCACCAGTGTGTGAATTTGTCAGCAAAACCAAACAAAAGCCCATAATCTGTGTTTCTTCAAAATTTCTGTGCAAATTTTTCTGTTTAATAAGTTATTTATACATTCACACAAAACCTTTTTAAAATCCATCTTCTCCCCCACAAAAATGGTTGATGATGAACTACATAAGTATGATGGTATGACAGGTATCAGCTTCCATTATTTTCTTAACCAACTTCAGTGCACACTTCAGGTACAATTTGTTAAAACAAACAACCTGTCAAACAAACAAACATTTATTTGATAAAAAGGTCTCAGTACCTTTGCTCCAGATGTTATGTCCACAGCCTCCGCAATATCCTCCTGTGAGATCATACACGTGTCCTCATCTTCATCTCCTTCTAAAAACCTGAGATCAGGGACAAACATCACTCATGTGTTTTTAAATCACATGATATCTGTCACAGAGTACGATCTAACACAAAGAGGTGAGCATCATTTAAAGGACATTACCCTGCCTCCTCCGGGAGGAGAAGGTCAAACCGTGCTGCTTGTTTCTGGGCCATTTCTGAAGCGTCTTCTGAGCGAGCTATGATATCTCTCAGCTTGTGCTGCTTACGGTGAGGCTATTACAAAACGAAAGAGAAATCAGATGAAAGACAAGCGCTGAAAAAAAAAGAGCATACTATTTTAAAGAAGAGCCACTCAGATGCTTACCTTTTTAAGTTTATCTTTCCTCTTGAATTTTTGCAATCTGTCTTCTGGAATAGGAGCAGGGCCTGGGAATGGATCAGACTTCTGAAAGAATATGAACATTAGTTAGAACAATATATAATATACAGTCCTATATTACCTATACTAAAATGTAAAAGCAGACTGAATCATGATAAACATTAAATGCTATCTTCTTCTGGTCGTAAGTGGTGCTTCAAACTTAAATATTACTGCTAAAAGATTCAGTACAACACTCATGAATCATCATGGGAAATTAGGCATGCCTGGCTACCTTTGTTTACATAATAATCTGCTTTTTGGGGGATATTTGGAAGATTTTGCAGTGTAATAGCAGTACAAAGGCGATGCATAGGCTGTTTAGTGCAAATAAGGGTACCCCAAACTGCATCTTAAACATATTCTAGTGCAACACAGGACCTCACTAAAACAGTTTAAGCAAGAGCAAGAAATGATGGCGTGATTTTTGTCTGTCAATAGTAATTCGTGTACTCTTACCTCTGGCTTGACTTTCTCTCCATCACTTGGACTTTGGTCTTGTTTTCGCTTCTTTGCCTTCTGTGTCTTGTCCTCCTCCTGCTGCAGAGCCTCTTTGCTCTGTTCTCCGTCGCTTTTAACTTTGTTTTCATCCTTCCGTTCCTCCTCCTGGAGCTCCTGCCAGTATCGAGCAGGCAGCTGTAAGATAGGAGCGAACAGTGGCAAGTTAGAAGAAGTGACTATAACGTATTTCGTTATTTAAGCCCAGAAACTTTTTACACTGGTCTTCGCCCCCGTGTGGGGCTACTCACATTAGCCGCTTGACGCTAGCAAGAAAAAACTACCTTACGTTTACTGTTTATTAGTTATAAAACTGCGTTCCTCAGCTGCAGTCACCAATAGCTTCAAACGGCTGCGACGATATGCTTCTAGAAATTATTTATCTATATTTACCTTCTTCTTTTTACCCACGTGTGTCTCATCCACCGATGCCTCGCCGGGCGACGCCATCTCTGTTGTGTACGTTTTTCTTCTTCTGCATTAACGGCTTCAATAAACTGTATCTGTACATGATGAACGCCACCGTTCGGTCTGAAAGGGTTACTGCATCGGCTCATAGGTTCAGTATGTGCATAAAAAAAGAAATCTTTATAGTTCATTTAATGATACTCTCTCTTTGTAACAGGATTAAGATAATAAAAAAAATTCTACTTTTTTCTTTCCCTGCATATTTCAAATCTTTTATTTCAGTCTTGTATTCATCTTAGCCTTTTAATGTTGTCTCATGGTACCACCTAGTGGGTTAAAAGGGAATAAAAGTTTCCCTTCATCAAGTTCCTAAGTAACAAAATACATAAATAAATGAATTAATAAAAACACTAGGGATAATCACAACAAAATATCCAGGAAATTAAAAAACAATTAATAGAAACAATCAATTAAAAAAAAACACAATAAAAGATGGTGATAACAAAATAAAAGTCTTAAGAAGAAGCTCAATGCCTCAGAGTCACAGGGTGGTGGAGCCCTTCACCCCTAACATAATTTGAAAGGTGGGGTACAGCATGAACTTACTGCCAGCCTATAGCAGGGCTCTCTCTTTAACATGCTAATTAATCATTCCTACCATATTCTTCTGACTCTTTTCTTTAGAGTTGATCTTGCTTGTACTTTACCCCTCTGAATAGTGTTTGTGTGATCTTTGGTCTGCAACTTCCTTTTTGTTCAAACAAACCCAATGTGCAGTTGTAATTTTTAACTTTTCATTTATTTTTCAGTTCCTTCTGTGAACATCAATTCTGGTTTTATGTTTACATTTCAAAGATTATATTTTGATGTTTGTGATTTTAATAATAAGTTCCATTAAACTGACCTGCAAAAAATGACTTATCGTTTGTCACTACAGTAACTACGATACTGATGTTCTAACTATTGTCCCCATATTAAAAATGTAAGCATAAAACACATGCATGCAGGAGATTTTTGCTATTTTTTTAATACTTGCGAAAGTAGTTAAGCATAACTGCTAAACTGGAACAATAATGCTGATAAAGGCCACAAGCCCAGAAATGTTTTTACTCTCCTTGATGTGTCTTTAAAGTAGATTAACTCCAGCCAGAAAGCCTATTCTCTTTATCTACAGCTATGTTGGATTTGAAAATCAAGATTTCCTTCTGACTTTTAAAAGCTTACCTTTCAAAGGGGAACATATTTGTTCCCTCACTTAAACCTCTGTACAGTCATAAATAAAAAGCTTTGTCATTGCATGACATTGCTTTTTGTTCAGTGGTCATGTGATAATATTACTGTAACGTCATCCAAACTTCTAATCAATGTATTGTATATCATGCATTTGCAATACTGTCCATTTAAAATGTCATACCAAATAAAGTGATTTGAATGCATGAGTAATGTTTTCATTGACACAATTCTAGGATTCATTTAGATCCTAGAATAGGAAAAGAAATGCTCCCAACAAAAGGATCCGGAAGTCAGGGAAGGGCTGGAATTTCATTTCTCCCCTGGGAGGGCCCTTCTCACTGCAGCGTGTTACGTAATCAGAAGTTGCATATAAAATACTCATCTGGACAGAGAAAAATCCCAGTAAGAGAAACCAGACAAAAACCGGCAATCAGCATGTCTCTCGATCCAGAGAAGGTATGCCTGACATCTTTAAACCAAACTGTTTTTGTTGTTGTTGTTGCTTCAGCTAGAGTTTGCTCTAATTTTATGGTGTTTGTCTCTTGTTAAGCATGTAGAGCTAAGCTAATGACAATGGATTTATCAGTTAAAGTCGTGTAAATGCATGCATGAGCCATGTGGGTTCATTTTATTTTGCAAGTCAGAGGGTTACTTTATCAATCAGCACCAGTGTTTTTGTTGAGCAGCAGCCAGACTTCCTCTCTGAGCACACCAAGTATTTTTGTGCTGTTAACCATTTGTGATCTCGCTCTCTCTTTAAAGAGGACTTGTATAAAACAGCTTGAAGCATGATCTGACTTCATTACCCACAGATGGCACTGCAGTACCTGATTACATTACATTACATTGATTTCTCAGCCTTGATAAAGACAGCAAGAGCCCTGGTCCTCATAATATTTCAGGAAAACTTTAACAAGCCTGAGAGCAGCTGAGTGGTATTTCTATTATACATTTAACTGGTTAGTACACAAACAAAGTGTCCTCACTCTGTAGAAACAGTCAGCCATTGTAACCATTGTAAAATTTAATTTGTACCATCTGCATTCATACTATGAGTGAAATTTATAACTTGCAAACAATATTTTCCCTGCTTTATATTCTCTCTCTGTGTGTGTTTTATTTATTTATGTACATATTAACTGCATCATAAGTGATTTATTGTTGTTTTTAATCATCATGATGCACAACAAGTGTCCTTTTTGGGACAATAAAGTGAATTTAAGTACACATTCAGATTTTTTAAAAAATCTGGTTTTTGCTTTTTCCCCAAAGGCAGTTTTTCCTTCTCGACAACAACTGTTTGATTTCCATGGAGTCTCAATGATTCCCATTTTCACAACCAACTGGGAGAACGTTCAAAACTTTCAGGCCAGACCGGATGATATACTTATTGCAACATATCCCAAAGCAGGTCGGTCCAAGAAAGAGGTATAAACCTTTACAGCTCATCAAAGTGTGTGCATAGAGGTCAGTGTAGGGGTCATGTTAACTTCTTTTTCCCCCCTCTCACTTTAGGAACCACATGGGTCTCCCAGATTCTTGACCTGCTGTATTTTGGTCAGACAGAACGACAGAAAACCATCCCTATCTTTGAGAGAGTGCCCTTCCTGGAGATTGCCGTTCCACCTTTGTTTTCAGGTTTTTGATCAAATGTACCAATTTTACACAAACACCTACAAACCATTATGGATTGTTGGCCTCTTTTTCCTCAAACTTGACTAAAATCATATCGCTATGTTACCGTTGGTTAGTTGGTATTAACATTTTACACAGACAAACTTGTGTTTTTTTTCATCTTCATCCCTCCATGCAGGAAAAGACCTGGCAGACAAGCTGCCCACCACCCCTCGACTCATTAAGACTCATTTTCCTGTCCAGTTTGTGCCAAAGTCCTTCTGGGAACAAAACTGCAAGGTTGCATTTTCCTGTCTGTTGTTTGCATCAGCTCAGTGTATCATCAAGAAGCTGATAATAATACCGATAATAGTGCAGTTTTCCACTTGGCTTAAGTTAAACTTGAAGCCTACCAAGAGAATTTGAGATTCATTTGAGTTAGAGTTCGTTTTTCTTTTGTAGATTGTCTATGTAGCCCGCAATGCAAAGGACAACATGGTGTCTTTTTTCCATTTTGATCGCATGAATATTGCTCACCCAGAGCCTGGCGACTGGAGCAACTACATCCACAGATTCATGGAAGGAAAAAGTATGCATAAAATACTATATTAAAGTTATTTTCATTTACTGTATGACTGCTATTTTCCTGTTTCTGTGGCCCTAGTGGTGTTTGGCTCCTGGTATGACCATGTGAATGGCTGGTGGAAGAAGAAACAGACTTACTCAAACATTCACTACATGTTCTATGAAGATATGATTGAGGTAATCTGATTCCTTTGTGAGTTCCTTTCTCTTTACGCTACTTGCTTGAAGCTCTCATTTAGTAGCTTATAATGCTGTAATGATGGCTGTAATGTTGTGATGATACAGTTAGGTCCATAAGTATTTGGACAATGTCACATTTCTTTTGTAATTTTGCCTCTGTGTACCACCAGAAAGGCTGTTAAATCAAGCAGTCAGTTTGTTTTAACTTAAAAATAACTGGACACACTAATATAGTTACCGTATACCTATATGGACTTGCTTTGAGATGTACTTCGAGGCCTTTACTGCAGCCACCTTCAGGTGCTGCATGTGTGGATCTCTGTCTTCAGTAACTAAACTGCATGCTCTATTGGATTGAGAGCAGGTAACTGACTTTGCCACTGAAGACTATCCCCTTTCCTTCTCTTAAGAAATCTCTGGGTTGCTTCGAGTCGTTATTTGTTTATATTATGACGCACCGTCTCATCAGTTTTGCAGCATTTGGATAAATCTGAGCAGATAGTATAGCCCCGTCCACTTCTAAAACCATCCTGATACTTCTATCAGCAGACACATCATCAATAAACAGTGACTTTGTTCCACTGGCAGCTATACATGCCAAAACATCATCTCCACTATGTTTGACAGATAATGTGGTATGCTTAAGATCAGGGGTCTCCAGCTCCAGTCATCGAGAGCTACTGTCCTGCAGCCTTTAGATGCATCCCTACTCCAAATAACTCTTATCTATCTTTTCAGGACACTGAACGGGAAATAGACAAACTCTGCAGCTTCCTCAGTTTGTCCAATTCAGCTGAGGATAAGAAAATGATTGCAGGTGGAGTCCAGTTTGATAACATGAAAAAGAATGAGATGACCAACTATTCCACGTTCTCCATTTTAGATTTCAAGATTTCTCCCTTCATGAGAAAAGGTACATTGAACCATATTGTGATGCATGAGGTGATATTAGGAAAAATACCTGACTGGTTTTTATCTATGTCTCTGCAGGAAAGGTTGCTGACTGGAAGAACCACTTCACCGTCGCTCAGAATGAAGTGTTTGATGAAGACTACAAGAAGAAGATGAAAGATCCCACACTTCAGTTCCGCACTGAAATTTGAACAGAGCCAGGCATATAGAATGTAAAAAGGGTCACTGATTGACTTTATCTAAATCTTTAACTAAATCAATGTGCTTTATATTATTAATCACAAATTAAAAGGCATTTCATGTTTGAAAGTGAATATTTATGTCACTACAAACAAAAAAATATTGGACATTACCAGTAACACTGTACTGCAATACTGAAACTTTGGTGTGTAGATTAAAATGTATAAAGTAATACGAAAGTTTACTTTTTTAAGTTTTTTACTAAGTGCTAACAGCCCATTTTTTATTCTCTGTGTGTGATAAAAAAAAATAAAAGGTAATGACTGGTCCATTTGTTTTGCAGGGTTTTCTATTTGATTTTATTCAGGTTTAGTTATATTTTACAGCCAGGTAAAAAATCTGCATTGTTCCGTCAAGAAATACCGAACTAGCAACAATGTATTGTTTGTGTAGCTGAAATCAATATGAATTCCTCTGTCTGGGGGGTTTTGAGAATGTGGTTTACCCAAGACAAAATGAATACAACTATACTTATCATATTTTAATTAGTCAATACTATTTATAAACTAAATATAAAATACAAATGTACCTTATCACAGGGGATCGTCCTCCTGGCCCTGGGAGCAGTATTGTCTAATAGGGTCTCCCATTAGAAATTGGTCACAAGGGAGGCACCAGATTAAGAGCGATTCAAAACATGCTAATGGAAATTCCTGCACCGTATAATCTCACCATGGGAAATCAAGGCCCCTCTTGGAGCCAGATTGGGGAGGGAAGCTTGCCAGCTAGACTCTGGTGACTGGATCTGGATTAATGAGGCTTGTTCAGGCACAGCTTCAAGAAATCATATGAATCCACCATCCTGTGGGCCTACTATGCACAATGACAGGCACCAGGGCCAGGGTCAGTATAATCTGGGTAGCAGGCAAAGGCAAGGGCTAGGCATATTGACAGCCCCAAAACATCACAGACTTTGTTTTGTGGGAAGTGAACTGTCTTGCTAGCAGGAAAGAAACCTAGATAACTAGATATAGTTAGGTTCACCACGACATAAGGGTCCTGGAACCAAACTCCTGGAGAAGGGCTGGACTCATTCTTTTTCCAGAGTGGCCCATGGTGAAAGGTGCTGGTGAAGTCTGACTCACACGGCCTTGGCCAGCCGCCTGAAAAGGTATACCAGAGATGTAGAAGGCAGGAGAATAAACCAGCTGTTCTCCACAGAACCATCCAAGGTGTATTCTCAGTGGCAGGGGAACAATATGAGAACAGCAGCACCACCAAGTCTGGAGATGGAGTAATACTGGAAGAGCATATGGGACAAGGATGCTATGTATAACAACAATGTTCAGTGGCTCGTGAATCTAAGGGCAGACCACAGCAACCTCCCTAAACAGGGTCCGGGGAGGCTGTTACCCTGAGCAGGGTCCAGTAACCATCACAGTGCTAGACATCCAAGAAAGGGTCTCAACTATGAAGGGCTGGACAGCACCAGGCCTGGACATGGTTCACGGCTAAAGAAGCCAGCTGCACTCAATGAACTTCTAGCAGCACAAATGAACCAGCTGCTAGTCAATAAGAGACACCCAGAATGGTGTCTGATGTCAGAAAGGCCAGAAAGTCCTGATGCCCAAGGATCCCCAGAATGGATCAGTCCTATCTAACTACCAGCCAATAACCTGGCTCAGTACAACATGGAAGCTCCTGTCCAGGCATCATAGCGGCTAAGATGAATAGGCATATGGCTCAAAACATGAGCGGGCACAGAAGGGAATTGGCACGAGTATCAATATCAGTGGAGTGAAACACCAGGTACTGGTAGACAGAGCAGCCGAGACTACAAACCCTGGCTCAACATCCTGTGCACTGCCTGGATTGACTACAAGAAGGCCCATGACTTGATGCCCCACAACTGGATCCTTTTTGGGAATGTGCTGCAGGTCTGAATGACAGGAAAGGATGTATATTTACAAATGAAATGAAGTTGACCAGGCAAAACATGACAACATTTTGTGTTCATATTGTCTGTAATGACACACAAGTCAAAGTAAATTTAGAAATCACTAATTTCTATACTTTTCCATACTGTCCCAAATTTTTCTGATTTGGTTTTGTATGAACAAGAAGGAAGTACTGGACTTTCACAACGTAACGCAAAGCTCAGATACGCTGATAGTGGTGTGTTTCGCAACCAGACGTTTGGTAGAAAACACTCAGCTGGTGAGGGAGTAATGCATTCAAAGAAGCAAGGCAGAACCCAGATCATGTTCCTTAACCCTAAAAAGGTATGTATGATATCTCTAAACAAAGCTGTTTTAGTATCTTTTTTAGCTACAATTTGATTTCCTTTCATGGAGTTTTTACTTGTTAAGCATGTAATTCTGAGCTAAAAACAAAGAAAGTAGTTTGAACGCATGCAGGAGGAATCGATAATCAATTCATTTGACAAAATGTGAAAGTTTAAGACCATCTTTTTGTCACTTGGCACTAGTGTTTTTGTTGAGTTCAACCAAAGACTTGATCTCTAAGCACAAGGGCTTTTGTGCCGTTAATCATTTGTTGTATCACTCTCTTTATAGAGGACTTGTAGAAATAAGCTTGAAGCACTACCTGACTTCACTACCCACAACTGCCAACACTCTTTTTCTTCTCCGCAGTCAAATCCCTGCAGTTGCTGTTCACACATTTAGTTTTTTCTCTTTTCCCCAAAAAGCTATTTTGTTTTCCAGACCAGAGCTCTTTGATTTCCATGGAGTCTCAATGACTCACTATTTTACAGACAACTGGGAGAATGTTCAGAACTTTCAGGTCAGACCAGATGATATACTTATTGCAACATATCCCAAAGCAGGTCAGTCCAACAAACGTGTACAAACTTTATAGCTCATCAAAATGTGTGTATAGAGGTCAGTGTTGGGATCAAGTTATTTGCCTCTCTCTCTTTCTAGGAACTACATGGGTCTCCCAGATCCTTGACCTGCTGTATTTTGGTCAGACGTGTCCAGAGAGGCAAAAAACCATCCCCATCTATGAAAGAGTACCCTTTCTGGAGATTGGTAACCTGAATCCAAAGATGGCATGGCAATCAATCATATTGCTATGGTTATATTATCATGTTACCTGTTTTCCATTTCAGGGTTTTCCTTATTCCATGTTCACCCCTCCATGCAGGGAAAGACCTGGCAGACAAGCTGCCCACCACCCCTCGACTCATTAAGACTCATTTTCCTGTCCAGTTTGTGCCAAAGTCCTTCTGGGAGCAAAACTGTAGGGTACAGTAACCTGTGTGCTGTTTTTCAAGAAGCTGATAATAGTACTGATAACAGTGCAATCTAAGGCAACAAACAAGACATTGTTGATTGAACCTAACAGGAAAGCACTAAAATAACCACTTGTTATAGCCAAGATAAGCAGAAGAGCATCTCTGAACACAGAGTATTTCAAAGCAGATGGGCTAAAGCAGTAGAAGACCACAGTGGGCGCCACTAATATCACCTAAGAACAGGAAACTGAGGATATAATTTGTACGTGCTCACCAAAATTGGAGAGTGGGGAAAAAATGTGTGGGCACATTTTCTTGGTGTAATTAATTTTCTGAAGTTTCCAGACGAACAAGCTACAGTTAGTTTTGTAGTTTTGCCTCTGTACATCACTGCAGCAGATATTAAATCAAACCATAAATATGCGCTCGAAGTTCAGGCTTTTAGCTTCAATTCAAGAAATCTTGCCCAAACTAAACTGTGTAAGAATTACCTCCATTTCTATACACAACCTTCATTTTCAGAAGCTCAAAATTATTCAGACAACTGACTAACAAACAGTTTCAAGGTCAGGTGGTTTGCGTGATATTCAATGAGAAATGAAGCAGATAAATTGCAAGCTTGTAATGCTTGCAGTGAGGCTAGAACAAGAAGAACAGAGAAATGAGATGTAGGCTAGGGACCAATGCTAAATCCACTGAGATGCTAACCTTTAAATTTGTCTTTGCTCTTAAATTTCTAACTTTTATGCTGTCTTGCTTGTTTCTGGGCCACTACGCCCTCAAAGGCATCCTTTATTTTGACACTTTTTTTTGACAAATAAAGGACAGCTCAAATTTAAAGCTGTCATTTTAAAGTCAAACAAACCTTTTCTTAATGATTTTTCATTTTTAAATGGGGATTCTCATACATTTATTCTCTTTCCATGACCCTTGTGTTTAAAAGTCTTTGGTCAGTGGTCAAACTTCTTCCAACTCATTACAAAGAACTCACAAAAAAAGATAAATAACTAAATGCACACTTATCTTTATCCAGTCTACAGCATATGATGTGCTTTTTAAAAATATTGCCTACTTAAAATTTCACACCAAATAGAACACGGAATTCATTTGAAGCACTTCAAATCCTTAAGCGAATGTGGCCACAAAAGGGTCAGGAAATCTGAAACCAGAGGGGCGGGGCTTTCAGATTACATGTGGAAGTGAGCGCAGCTAACAATGGTATGTTATGCAACCAGAAAAGGAGGAGAATTTTTCTTACAACACCAAAAGCCAGGCAGAAACCAACAATGAACATATCACTTAGTGCTGAGAAGGTATGTATGGTATCTCTAAACAAAACAGTTTGATGTTTTTAGCTACAGGTTGCTTTCCTGTTGTGGAGTTTGTTTCTTGTTAAGCATGTGAGGCTGAGCTATTAAAAAAGAAAGCGGTTTTAAATGCACGTAGAAGCAACCTATATTTTATTTGTTTTTCCAATGTTTGAAGCTTTAAGACTTTCTCTTTGTCACTTGGAACCAGTGTTTTTGTTAAGTTCAGCCAAAGACTTGATCTCTGAGCACACTGTGTGCTTTTGTGCTGTTAATCATTTGTTGTGTCACTCAGAAGTAGAAACAAATCTGAATTCACTACCCACAACTGCCAACACTAGTTTCTCTTTTTCTTCTCCGCAGTCAAATCCCTGCAGTTGCTGTTCACACACTCTAATGTTAGTTTTTTCTTTTCTTTTTCCCCAAAAGGCAATTTTGTTTTCCAGACCAGAGCTCTTTGATTTCCATGGAGTCTCAATGACTCACTATTTTACAGACAACTGGGAGAATGTTCAGAACTTTCAGGTCAGACCAGATGATATACTTATTGCAACATATCCCAAAGCAGGTCAGTCCAACAAACGTGTACAAAAATTATGGCTCATCAAAATGTGTGTATAGAGGTCAGTGTTGGGATCAAGTTTATTTGCCTCTCTCTCTCTCTCTCTCTCTCTCTCTCTCTCCCTTTCTAGGAACTACATGGGTCTCCCAGATCCTTGACCTGCTGTATTTTGGTCAGACGTGTGCAGAGAGGCAAAAAACCATCCCCATCTATGAAAGAGTACCCTTTCTGGAGATTGCCATCCCATCTTTGGATTCAGGTTACCAATCAGTCATATTGCTATGGTTATATTATCATGCTACCTGTTTCCCATATCAAAGTTTTCCTTACTCCATGTTCACCCCTCCATGCAGGGAAAGACCTGGCAGACAAGCTGCCCACCACCCCTCGACTCATTAAGACTCATTTTCCTGTCCAGTTTGTGCCAAAGTCCTTCTGGGAGCAAAACTGTAGGGTACAGTAACCTGTGTGCTGTTTTTCAAGAAGCTGATAATAGTACTGATAACAGTGCAATCTAAGGCAGCACGTCAGGCGTAACTTGAACCTTTAAGCCTAATAAGGAGCTCCAAAGTGTCTACTTCTGGTAAAGGTTTAAGATTTCTTTTTTCCATCTTCTGCAGATTGTTTATGTAGCCCGCAATGCAAAGGACAACATGGTGTCTTATTTCCACTTTGATCGCATGAATGTGGTTGAGCCAGAGGCTGGAGAATGGAATAACTACTTCCAAAGATTTTTGGAAGGACAAAGTATGCATAAATAATACAGTTATCCTTCGTGTGAGGTGTAGATCTTTTCCTCTCATTGCTTAAGTGTTGTTCTTTGATCTTAGTGGTATTTGGCTCCTGGTATGACCATGTGAATGGCTGGTGGAAGAAGAAACAGACTTACTCAAATATTCATTACATGTTCTATGAAGATATGATTGAGGTAATCTGATTTCTTCATTGGCACTTTCTTCTGCATGTTCTCATGCTCTCATCCAGGCGGTTTTAATGCTGCGATTAATTCCATGATGTGTTTCCAGGACACTGAACGTGAAATAGACAAACTCTGCAGCTTCCTCGGTTTGTCTCGTTCACCTGAGGAGAAGAAAATGATCTCAGGTGGAGTCCAGTTTGATAACATGAAAAAGAATGAGATGGCCAACTATTCTACAGCCCCGGTTATGGATTTCAAGATTTCTCCCTTCATGAGAAAAGGTACAGTGAACAGTAATGTGATGCATTTGGTAACATTAGGAAAAATACCTGAATTATAATTTTTTTCTGCAGGGAAGGTTGGCGACTGGAAGAACCACTTCACCGTCGCTCAGAATGAAGTTTTTGATGAAGACTACAAGAAGAAGATGAAAGATCCCACACTTCAGTTCCGCACTGAAATTTGAACAGAGCCAGGCATACAGACTGGATATAGTCTGAAAAAAATGAAGTATGAAATAAGCCAGAAGTGCTGATCTGTTTATTGAAATAAATAAACTTACAAATCACAAACTTATGAATCATCAGTTAACAGGAATGTCATCTCTGACAGTGAATATTTAAGACATGTATGTGCCCAAAACAGCCCATACCGTCTTGACTTTTTAAAAAGATCAAACAGATACTGCTGAACAGTACTGTTTAACAAAACAAGATCTCAATCTGACCAAAATTTAATCTTCATTTTTCTGGTTTTGATTGCAGTTGGCATACTTTGATGTTGCATCACTGTTGTCTTCAGTTTCATTATTGTTTCATTGATGTCCGTAGTCTTCTTAGTTGTACATGAATGCATGATTTATACTTATTACACACTCGCTTTACTCATTAGGGTACATCTGTTCAACTGCTCGTTAACGCACAGATCCAATCAGCCAATCGCATGGCAGCAACTCTGTGTTTAAAAAGAAAATCAGAATGGCATGGTTGCTAAGCTGGTCTAAGTAATTCAGTGGGACTACAAGGATTTTCCAGCAAATAGAGACAAAAAAGGAAAATAGCCAATGAGCAGCACTTACCTGGGTGTAAATGACATGTTGATGTGTTAGGAGCTCAGAGAAGAATGATTAGACTGATTGAACCTAACAGGAAAGCACTAAAATAACCACTTGTTATAGCCAAGGTAAGCAGAAGAGCATCTCTGAACACACAGTTGAAGACCACAGTGGGCCCCACTAATATCACCTAAGAACAGGAAACTGAGGATATAATTTGTACGTGCTCACCAAAATTGGAGGATGGGGGGGAAAAAAATGTGTGGGCACATTTTCTTGGTACACTGAACATTGTTTAAATGCCACAACCTACCTTAGTACTGCTGCTGACCATTTCCATCTTGAACATTACCTCCAGTCTGCTGTTTCTATTTTCTAGGCCCCTTGCTTCTCCCCTCCCCTTTTGATCCCCTTTCGTTGCATCACTCAGTTTGTTCCATTTGTTTAGGCCTGTCCTACTACTATGTGAATCAGTGACAAAATTTGCTTTGCATTATACATTTTGAAAAGATACATGTTTCAATGCCTGGAACCAACACATTAATTTTAATACACTATATTTATAGGAAACACAACGGTTATCTACGTTACTGATCTGCAGTATTTTGGTCAGAAAACATAGTTCTGTCAAAACAAGGCAACATACACCAAGTACCAAAGTCTGACTCAGCAGAAACAAAAGCATGGGGAACAGGGGTTATACTGGGATTTAGGATGTAGGGGAAGCCTAAGAATTTCTACATCAGGGTACACCTCAAGATAAACAAACTAATTTGTAGTCTTTGTGGACAGGCTGCACCGTTAGATTAACAATAAAAAATTTTCCCTCAGTTTTGGACAGTACTGGTTATATGTTACAGACATAGTCTCTATCGAACATGTTAGCATACCATCCATGGCTAGTAAGTCATCTGTGGAATCATGTGAGCAGTGAAATTATTTTTCCATGCACTTTAAGGACTTCCTTCCATGACTAGACGAGTCAGTTCCTGCTGGCCATTAGGAAAAAAACAAAAACAAAAAAAACAGCTTGAGGCACTTTCTTAACCCTTGTGTGGTGTTCGTATTTTTGTTACTCAGCCAGTGTTCATGGGTCTGGTGGACCCGCTAGAGTTTTGGCTTTCCAAATTAACACTATCAAACAATTTTATGTTAAATTACTCAACAGATGTTTACTTCATCCCAATTACAAGACATATGAACAGCAAACATGGTTAATTTTTTCCCTTTACCTTTGTTAGATCACATTTATGAATTAATGTGCTTCTCGTTTTTCTTTTATATAAAATGTTATAAATAAATCAGTTATAATCAAGTGGAGTGAGTGGAAAGACACAACACATTTACACGTGAAAAAATAATTAATTGTTTAATTTTTCTTTTGAAAAAAACTGAACACGGGTCTCACAGACCCGAACACCATACAAGGGTTAAATTTGAGAAAATGTCATTAATTTTCTGAAGTTTCCAGACGAACAAGCTACAGTTAGTTTTGTAGTTTTGCCTCTGTACATCACTGCAGCAGATATTAAATCAAACCATAAATATGCGCTCGAAGTTCAGGCTTTTAGCTTCAATTCAAGAAATCTTGCCCAAACTAAACTGTGTAAGAATTACCTCCATTTCTATACACAACCTTCATTTTCAGAAGCTCAAAATTATTCAGACAACTGACTAACAAGCAGTTTCATGGTCAGGTGGTTTGCGTGATAGTCAATGAGAAATGAAGCAGATAAATTGCAAGCTTGTAATGCTTGCAGTGAGGCTAGAACAAGAAGAACAGAGAAATGAGATGTAGGCTAGGGACCAATGCTAAATCCATTGAGATGCTAACCTTTAAATTTGTCTTTGCTCTTAAATTTCTAACTTCTATGCTGTCTTGCTTGTTTCTGGGCCACTACGCCCTCAAAGGCATCCCTTGACACTTTTTTTTGACAAATAAAGGACAGCTCAATTTTAAAGCTGTCATTTTAAAGTCAAACAAACCTTTTCTTAATGCTTTTTCATTTTTAAATGGGGATTCTCATACATTTATTCTCTTTCCATGACCCTGGTGTGTTTAAAACTCTTTGGTCAGTGGTCAAACTTCTTCCAACTCATTAGAAAAAACTCACAAAAAAGATAAATAACTAAATGCACACTTATCTCTATCCAGTCTAGTAGTGAAGTGTCCTGTGTGTCGAAGCGTCTCGGGGGCGTTTTGTGAAGCACGTATCGAGGCTTGCTTTGATTACGTATGCAGTGACGTTCAAGGCCTCGCGGGCAGTCCGTACCACGTGACTGATTCAGGGACCGGTTCACCGGTTCGCGCCAGATTCGAAATAAAATGGGCAGAAAAACACAGCTGATTTCCCATCACATTGTGTTGTGGAATTGGATTACGTACGTGTTACATAGTTACTTGAGCATTTCTTCTTTGATGGAACCAGCAAGGAAGACATTTTTTTTTAAAATTTCATCTCTCCTAATAAAGTATGCACACAGTAATACATATCACAAATGAGTGTACAAAAACTATGGCTCATCAAAATGTGTGTATAGAGGTCAGTGTTGGGATCAAGTTATTTGCCTCTCTCTCTTTCTAGGAACTACATGGGTCTCCCAGATCCTTGACCTGCTGTATTTTGGTCAGACGTGTCCAGAGAGGCAAAAAACCATCCCCATCTATGAAAGAGTACCCTTTCTGGAGATTGGTAACCTGAATCCAAAGATGGCATGGCAATCAGTCATATTGCTATGGTTATATTATCATGTTACCCGTTTCCCATATCAAAGTTTTCCTTACTCCATGTTCACCCCTCCATGCAGGGAAAGACCTGGCAGACAAGCTGCCCACCACCCCTCGACTCATTAAGACTCATTTTCCTGTCCAGTTTGTGCCAAAGTCCTTCTGGGAGCAAAACTGTAGGGTACAGTAACCTGTGTGCTGTTTTTCAAGAAGCTGATAATAGTACTGATAACAGTGCAATCTAAGGCAGCACGTCAGGCGTAACTTGAACCTTTAAGCCTAATAAGGAGCTCCAAAGTGTCTACTTCTGGTAAAGGTTTAAGATTTTTTTTTTCCCCCCCATCTTCTGCAGATTGTTTATGTAGCCCGCAATGCAAAGGACAACATGGTGTCTTATTTCCACTTTGATCGCATGAATGTGGTTGAGCCAGAGGCTGGAGAATGGATAACTTCCACAGATTTTTGGAAGGACAAAGTATCCATAAATAATACAGTTATCCTTCGTGTGAGGTGTAGATCTTTTCCTCTCATTGCTTAAGTGTTGTTCTTTGATCTTAGTGGTATTTGGCTCCTGGTATGACCATGTGAATGGCTGGTGGAAGAAGAAACAGACTTACTCAAATATTCATTACATGTTCTATGAAGATATGATTGAGGTAATCTGATTTCTTCATTGGCACTTTCTTCTGCATGTTCTCATGCTCTCATCCAGGCGGTTTTAATGCTGCGATTAATTCCATGATGTGTTTCCAGGACACTGAACGTGAAATAGACAAACTCTGCAGCTTCCTCGGTTTGTCTTGTTCTGCTGAGGAGAAGAAAATGATCTCAGGTGGAGTCCAGTTTGATAACAGAATGAGATGGCCAACTATTCTACAGCCCCGGTTATGGACAGAGATGGGCAGTAACGTGTTAGTTGTAATGCGTTACTGTAATCTGATTACTTTTTCAAGTAACGAGTAAAGTAAGGGATTACTATTGCAAAAACGGTAATTAGATTACCGTTACTTTCCCGTAGTGTTACTGCGTTACTAAAACTGTGTTGTTGTTTTTTTTGTTTTTTTTGCGAGAATGTCTCACGACAGTGACGTAAGCGAGTGCGCCGTTAGTGACAACAGCTGTGTGCAGATCAACAATGGATCACATATCGATTGTGGGAGAGAGTATGAGCGTGCAGCGTTTAAAGCGTGGAAGTACTGACCTTTGAGTTTGATTCCATAAAAAGTGACAAAAACATTAGCGTCCATCGTGCGTGGGAAGAAAACTTCTTTTTACAGCGAAAAAAAACCCCTAAACTTCCAAGCAAGCACTGAGTGTGCAACGACGTAATGGGAAATTCACAGAGAAACTCGCGGATTCTTCAACTTACCGCGGCACACCTGCACCAGGGTAAACCTCCGCCTACCGTAGTCCTGCTTTACAGGTGAAAATAGAGCAACAGGACCGCTGAGTCTTTGACTTTATTTATTTTCTGCTGTGTTTTACTTGCATCTATTTGAAAGAGTGAGTGTAAACACAAAAAAATATTTTATTTTATGTGCTGGAATGTGTAGAAAATAGATTTAAATGTTAAACTAATTTATTCAAGTCAGAGAATGTTGCATATAATTAAATTTTTGCTTGATGCATAAAGTTAAAAGATTAAAACTGATAAAAACAAGTTAAAAGAAGAGACTTTTCCATTTGATTATATTTTGTATGATGGATTATGTAGGAAAAAGTAGAATTGGGCTGAAAGATCTATCGCTTTATCACCTCTTCAGGCTGTAAATTGTATTTTTAAAAAGTAACTAAGTAATTACTTTTGAAAATAAGTAATCAGTAAAGTAACGGGATTACTTTTTGAGGGAAGTAATTAGTTACTGATTACTTTTTTCAAGTAACTTGACCAACACTGGTTATGGATTTCAAGATTTCTCCCTTCATGAGAAAAGGTACACACCTAACAGTAATGTGATGCATTTGGTAACATTAGGGGAAAATACCTGTATTATTATTATTATTATTATTATTATATTATTTATTTATTTATTTTTTATTTATTTATTTTCTGCAGGGAAGGTTGGCGACTGGAAGAACCACTTCACCGTCGCTCAGAATGACGTTTTTGATGAAGACTACAAGAAGATGAAAGATCCCACACTTCAGTTCTGCACTGAAATTTGAACAGAGCCAGGCATACAGACTGGATATAGTATGCAGCTACTGCTGTGCAGTGTGTATTACAAAGATCTCATCTAAACAAACTGTGGCATACATGTGACAGAATTATACAGTGGAATAATAAACACTCCAAATACCTTAATTTTACGTGTACACGTTGTGCTTTTATTGTAAAACCTGATGATCAATGCATGGAAGCCAAAAGCACAGTGAGGGGCTGTATTGTCAATTTATTTCTGCACTTGAGCTCAAGATTGCAAACTTTGTTCTCGAAAAGAAAGTTATTCCAAGCCAAACATAAACAGCAAACTATGACCAAGTGTCATCGTGGCTCCAGCCTTAAGTAGACCGCCTGATTGATTGATTGATTGATTGATTGGTAATTTATTTCAACATGTGAACAATATACAAGTACATTTAGAAAAGAAATAAGAGAGAAAAAAAAATACTATACAAATTACATACAAAAACACATTCTGATTAATTTACATGTTGAAAGGGAGTGGGAAGAAGTATACACTTATTTAATCCCACCCCTGTCCCATAAATTATCAGTGAATATTTAGTCAGCTTCCTTACTGATATAATTTGTAATAAAAATAGTGAACAGATTTCTGATATACTATATACTATAATATCACATCATGAATTTTTTGTTTGTTTGTTTTTAAATAGAGACATTCACTTAATTTAAATATTTTCCTTTTCTTTATAGATCGAGAAGATCGTATTTTTATAACTCTTTTTGAACAGTTTTATGTTTGGACATTGCTTTAATTCCATATTCAGTTTGTTCCATAGTTTCACTCCTTGAACAGAAACACAAAAGCCTTTTCTTGTAGTACGTACCTTCATTGTTTTGAAGTTACAAAAACCCCTTAAATTATAACTTCCTTCTTTCAAAAAAAAACATACTCTGAATATTACCTGGCAGTTCTTTATTTTTTGCTTTGAATAGAATTTGTGCTGTTTGGAATTTCACTATATCGTCAATTTTCAATATTTCAGACTGCAAAAATAGTGAGTTTGTATGTTCCCTATAACCTGCATTGTGGATGATTCGAATTGCTTTCTTTTGAAGAGTAAAAAGTGAATGTAATGTGGTTTTATAGTTATTGCCCCAGACCTCTGCACAATAGCTTAAGTATGGTGAAACCAGTGAACAGTAGAGAATATGAAGTGATGTTCTGTCGAATACCTGTTTTGCCTTGTTTAGTACTGCAATGCTTCGTGATACTTTGGAATGAATATATCTTACGTGAGCTCTCCAGTTAAGTTTTTCATCTATTATTACCCCCAGAAATTATCTAACGAGCCACAGGTGAATGTGATCAGTGACTCACTGACCCGCCGGCAGGAAGGTGGGTAATCAGGAAGAGCCACTACTGATGGGAAGATAAAAATAACTCCCACAAACATACAAACACTGCTAGGAAAGAGAGAAGGGGGAGGTGGGCTAGTGCAAGAAACTTGGAAACCATGACAGATTATGTTCATGCAGTCTGAACCTCAATCTCTTAAAAGTTGTACATTAAGCAACACAAACTGTTCCATAATGCTCAGGAAATGCAACAAAGTGTGCTAGAAATAAAGATCATAATAATATATTGGAAAGCATGAAAAAACAAAATGAAACCAGTACACTTTAAATACAACACTAATGCCTTTCATCTTTGTCCAAGAAAGAGATCCTGTGAATCCTGGTGCTTGGATCTTGTAGTGTAGGCATTGGAGAGTAGACAGTTGGTTGAGCAGGTCAAAGTACTATATTACAACTACAAAAAATGTATATTAAAAGTAAGGTGATAACATAATGGTAACAAAATGTGACTCTTCCTACAGAGTACAAGTAAGAGACTATATTGCACAGAGTATGATAAAAAGCTGGATATTACAGTTTTTTCTGATTGCTTAAGCACATTTTTTGTAACCATTGGCTAATTTTGCAAAACTCTTCACACAAATAAGAAAACCTGTCACCCAATAATCAAAACATTGTAGTTCTCTTGCAAAAGCAAACACAGCTAGATTAACTCTTCACACCTTCGTAAAAATGGTGTTTCCGTATCAAACAGTACACACAAGCCATCATCTCCTAAGCACACAATGCGCCAACTGCACACTGATGGTATGAATACAAAACACATCTGGCTTTTGCTTTCTCTGTGCACAAGGTAGGCTATGTCAGTTTGAGCTTATACTTCTGTCATAGATCCATAAGCATAGAGGGATCCAAACTTCAAGTACTGGTGTACTTGAAACACATCAAAACAAACACAAGTGTTTATTTCCAAGTATAGGATTATTTGCAATCGCCATAATGACTATATGGGTTACTTGGTCTGCAGTGAACATGCTTCCTCTGCCCCCAGCATCTGGTCATCTAGCAATTCTGTAAAGTAACAATTTCAGTATTTTTACATCAGTGGTATTGGTGTGTTTCTCATTGGCATATGGCAGTGCTACAAATCTTTGTGCGAAGTGACTGTACTAACCGATTCTCATTTCAAGATGTCCTTATGGTACTTGCTACAGTGTAGCGGCTCGAGTTAGGCTGGACCCGTTGGCCAGCTACCCTCAGGGTCATTCCACGGTTGATTACATGGTCCACTATTGTAGCTCTGATGTCATCAGCAATTCTATTTCTTACTCTTCCTACCCTTCCTCTCCCCCCTCCTCCTCTTCCTCTCCCCCCTCCTCGTCTTCCTCTTGCTCCTCCTTGTCCTTGTCGTCCTCTTCATCCTACTTCTTCACCTCCACGTCCTCTTCCTCGGCCTCCTCTACTTCTCACTCTTTCTGCTCCCTCCATTGTACTCCGCACCCACAGCTTACCTGTATTATAGTGCTTAGGCTGATTGCAAAGTGAACTAATTATCTAAAAAAGTTTTCACATGTGAAAGTGTGCCAGACAGTTGGCAAATTAGTGTTAATAATAGCCATACATGTGTATACTTTTGCTAGGAGTGTGTTGGAAATTTGGTAATTGAGTGTTGTGCAGTGAATTGTGCCTACAGTTTTGCAAAGTGTGTGTTACAAAATTGCAAACTGAGTGCAAAGCAGTTTTTGTGCTTTTAGTTTTGCAAACTCAGTGAGTGGTTTTGCTATAAGTCTGAATAGTTTTAGAGATTGTGCTACAGGAATCACAGTTAGGGTTTAAGCATTCAGAAAAAACTGTAATAAGACCTACCTTGGCACTTGTGCAGGTGGAGCCAAAGGGAAGACATGCTTCACCATATTTTCTAGTCTTTGGCTTAGAATGAACTTTGCTTGGAAACATATTCAGCGATGCTTCATCTCCTGCTTTGCGTTAGTGTGGGAGCCCCGTCAAAAACCTTTCATGCTATGCTAGCAGTGTCCAAACAATCTTTTTTTTTCCCTTTTCATACCATGCCCAGGGGGCGGGCCCCACACCTTGGGAAGCTCTACTTTGAGGTATTGGACACCGATGGTAAACTGCCATCAGACCCTAAATCAGACCCTGTTATCTGTTGTTATCAATATTTTTTTTAAATTATTTCTTGGTGAGTGGACATATTGGTTACACTTTGACTAATCATTAATCAGTAACACAACCTTCAGAAGCAAAGTGCACTGAGGGTGTAATTACTGAAGGTTACTCATTTCTGATGTCAAGGAGGAGCAGAGAATAAAACAGTAAAGCAGACAAAAAAATTACATCATATGGGAGAAAGATACTCTAAAGTGTGGAATAAAAACTCAGGCAGTTATTCTAATAATAAAAAAAAGTCAAGAGATGGAGGTGCGACCTCGACCAGAACTGTTTGACTTCCATGGAGTTGGCATGATCACAGACTTTACAGAAAACTGGGACAACATTCAGAACTTCAAAGCGAGACCAGATGATATTCTTATTGCTACGTACCCTAAAGCAGGTAAGGTTAATTTAACCTTAGTAGACAGAATTGTGCCAGCCTGGGTGAACATAAGAAAGTGAAGACATGTGAAAGTAAACTGATTTAAACTCAAATCAAAGCCTTGGAAATTATTTTAGACTCTCTTTTTCTCTCTGTGTGTTTTATTGGCTTTAAAAAACCTTTGAGCTAAATGTTGTGCTGAAAGGCACTATATAAATAAAGCTTAAGGGCATGTACAAGGGTTGTGTGGAGCTAGTTACTATAGTATTTTTTTTAAATAAATAATTTCATGGATTGCTATATTTCCCACTGAACAGCATGGTTTTATCTCTTTCAACCTCAGGAACCACATGGGTCTCCTACATCCTAGATCTTCTGTATTTTGCGCACATGGGTCAAGACCGTCAGACTTCCATCCCTCTTCATGACAGAGTACCCTTCCTGGAGATATGCGAACCCCCTATGCCCAAAGGTCTCAGATCAGTTCTGATTGCAGAAATTTTTTGTGTGTCACATGTTGAAACAGCAGCTGCTAAAATGCAACCTCAGTGTGTTTCACATTCACTGTTGTCTAAACAGAGTGATATAATTTTTTTTTTGCTTGATATTTGGTTATTTTTCAAATCTATTTGGTTATTAGACACTCAAAATTGTTTGCAAACTCACTCGAAAGTGCCTTAAAATGTTGGCCTTTTAGCCATGTTGACCTCTGACATCTAGAAAAGTCCAACTTATTAGGGGCAAACCAATCATTCTTACCTTACAGGTACAGACTTGGCAGACAAACTTCCCACCACTCCTCGTCTCATTAAAACTCATCTACCAGTCCAGTTTGTACCAAAGTCCTTCTGGGAGCAGCGCTGCAGGGTAAAATGCATATATACCTGTAACCATAGAGACATGGGATTTATGAAACAGATTAGAACTTGTTGTTGTCTGGTTCTGCAGGTAGTCTACGTGGCCCGCAATGCAAAAGACAATGCAGTGTCCTACTTCCATTTTGAACGCATGGACAGTGGTATGCCAGAACCGGGGAAATGGAGCACCTTCCTGCAGAACTTCATGGAGGGGAAGAGTGAGTTCAGTTTAGTTTTACTGTCAAAAGAAGAGACATTGTTTTCATTTTATTTCTCATGTAAACACTCTGTTGTGTTTTGTTGTGTGTTTGTAGTGGTTTTTGGATCGTGGTATGACCATGTGAACGGCTGGTGTGAGAAGAAGCAGACTTATTCAAATTTTCACTACATGTTCTATGAAGATTTGATTGAGGTATCATGAGCTGTGCTAAAGAATGCCATTTACAACAAAGCTCATTACATTAAAAAGTGTCTTGAGTTTGTTAATAAACACGTTGCCCTTGCTGAAAGATTAAATAGCTTTTAGGAAATACTTAGCCTTCGTCTGGTGTTCTAGTCTGTGGGACTCGCTTTGTATGTTTACCAAAAGAAACATTATGCAGTTGTTATTTTAACTTCAAATTCTTTGCCTTTGTATCATTTTCTTTGAAGAACATATAAATGAAATATAAAATAACACTTCACACAGGACTGTGGACGAGAAATAGACCGACTGTGTTCCTTCCTTAGTTTGTCTCCATCACCTGAAGAGAAGGAAAGAGTCAAAGCCAGCGTGACTTTTGACAATATGAAACAAAATAAAATGACCAACTACTCCACCTTCGATTCAATGAACCAGACTATATCTCCTTTCATGAGAAAAGGTATAAATGTCTAAACCTAAAAGTTGTTTTGTTCCCCTCTGTGTTTCTTCTGAGAACTGTGTACTGCATTTATGAATAGGTTGATCAAATAACCTGAATTATTTTCTCTGTTTCTTCAGGAAAAGTTGGTGACTGGAAGAACCACTTCACTGTGGCCCAGAATGAACAGTTTGATGAAGACTACAAGCAGAAAATGAAGAATCCTGATCTAAAGTTTCGTTATGAAATTTAGATCCCCAGCTGGGTGTGATGGAACTCTGCACTGATATGTGATTAAAGAGTTAAGAAATAAGCCAAATTTGATATGAAATTTAAACAAACTAAATTTCAGGTAGCGGGGGGGCTAGGAGGAGTGGGCCGTCCGACTGCGGTCTGGGGCCTCCCTGCTGCTGCGGAGTCGGGGCGGTCTGCCTCTCCCCACCGCAGGGAAAAGGGTAACACCACCTGGGTCTGGGTGCAGTTCCCCCCTCCAGGGGCAAGGGTACCTAGACCCGGTTAGTAGAGTACGCTTGGGGAGTGTGATCGTGTACACAGCGTCCCTTTATGTCTGTCTCCACGTCGGTTGAGTGTGAAGTACATATGAGAGCATGAGGGTGGGAATGGATGTTTGTGTCTGTGTGTGCCTGTATGTCTGTGTCTATATGTCAGGTTGGGTATCAGACGCCACCTCTCTGGGGACATCTCGGGCCCTCCAAGGTTTGGAGGCCTATCTCCACCCACCACCACTTCCCCTGCCGGTGGCGGACTCCCTCAGGTATCGGTGCGTTGGTGGTTCTTTGTATCTGGGGGTGGGCGTCCGGGTACACACCAGCTCACTCCTTGGCGGCCGCTTATTGGGGCTCGCTCGGGCCACCTCGGAGGTGGGGTGCCCCCGGCCTCTCGGCCTGGGGCTCGGTCACTCAGGCACAGCTGGCTGCCGGCGGAGCTCACGGGCGCGTCACTGCAACTCCCCCTGGCTTCTGCTCCGCGGCTGCTGAATGAGCCCTCATCTGGGACTCTCCTTAGCTCTTACTGGGACAGTGACGCAGCTGCCCCTCTGTGGGTCTTCCTTGGTCTCTTGTGTTCTGGGGGCCTCTGGATGTCTGGAGTTTTGATCTCCTCCATACCTGCTTGATACCATAGAGGACAGGGCTGTGGCTCCCCACACTCTATAGCAGATCATTGCATGGAGAAACCTTTGGAATGCAAGCATGCTGATCCACACAGGTATGCACACAGGTGTACACATGGGTATTCACAGATGCGGACTACAGCTTTCTTGGCTGCTGCCTCAAAGCACACTGTGCGCTGTCTATCTTGCGTGCTGCACAATATCGTTTATTATTTAGTAACTATTGATATCTATGACTAGCTAGTTTATTGTGATGGTGCTTTTTTTTTTTTTTCTATTATTATGTTGCTCTTTGTTGTTTGCTGTCTCCCCTGTTTTTTTTGTTTTCTCTCTCTCTCTTCCCCCCCTTCTCACCGTCTCTTCTCCCCTTTGGTTTTCTTTCTTTCTCTCCCCCTCTTTCTTTCATTCTTTCCCCCTGTCCTAAAAAAAAAAAAAAAAAAAAAGGATGAAAAAAAAAAAAAAAAAAAGATGCCAACTTAAGAAATGCGAGTATTTAGTTTTGTGTCAGGAGAGCAGGTAATAAACTGCTCAAGTTTTGGCTTTGGCTTAATAAATTTAGGGGTCCTAGAGGAACCCTTTTGAGTGAGGTGGTGTTACGCCCCTCTGCAGCCCCTAATCTCCTCAGTGTGTTCAGCTGTTGCTAATTGGCCACACCTAGTAAGGTATAAATAAACGCATACCTGTGGCAGGCTATTCAGGAAGCTCACTAGTCGTTGCCTTTGTGGCAACAGCCATTTGAGCCAACCTGGGATGTCATTTTAAGCTAAAACCTCTTCTCACTTACACTCTGATATTCGTCTCCTTTTTTATGTTGCAGCCTCGAGCCGGGTCATAACACCTCCCCTTAAGTTTTCCAAAAAAAAACAGATAGATGATCCTCAAGTACTTAGGGAAAATATTCTGTGGAGTCATGAGACAGTTTGTGGATAGTTTGAATTAGTTATTTGTGGTAGTGAGATCATAAATGGTCAGAGGGCCCAGTGGCGCCAGTGTCCGGCAGCCTCGCCTCTGTCAGTGCGCCCCAGGGTGGCTGTGGCTACAATGTAGCTTGCCATCACCAGTGTGTGAATGTGTGTGTGAATGGGTGGATGACTGGATATGTAAAGCGCTTTGGTGTCCTTAGGGACTAGTAAAGCGCTATATAAATACAGGCCATTTACCAAAATACAGGCCATAAAGCTAACACAGTATTTCATAAAATGAACATCAAACAATTGATGGAACCATGATTCTGCTCCGTCTGAAAATCCTGAATGCTTTTCTGGGTTCTCCATTAGGTCATAGTAGTTCACAGCCCGGGATTCCAAGCATTCTGATCAGGTACTACACTGTGACGTCGTCAGACTACATGCCACCGATTGGCTGATAAGTAGCGTCAGTTAATGAGTCATTGAGCGCCATTTGCGAAAATTAAAACTGCAATTTTTGAATTTCGGTGATTATATTTGAATCAGGGAAATTTTGCCCCATACAGTCAGAAATATTGTATTTCTGATCACTTATCAGTACATATCCTTGTTTTTACATCTATAAAAACAAAGCTGACACTTGTGAGACTTGATCAAAGGTGTAAGCATCTCAGCAGATGCCTTTGTGTCAAAGTAACTGAGGATAAAACAGAAAAACATGAAGGAGATTTTCCTGGCCTGGGATTTTATAGCAGATAACCTTAAAAATATTCTGCAGTAGATACATTTGTTCAGTACTGAAGTGAAGAAATTAGGCTTACGTGTTGGAAATTTAAAAAACAAAAACCAGTGGCAGACAGCGCTGTAAACAACGGTAGCCTGGTGGGTAATAAGCAAGCGAATAACGCAGAAAACAGACTTTTTTTATGGGAATCTATTCCTGAGAGAGAGAGACGGAGAGCTCTGCATGACGTGTGATTTTTATCGTGGTGGAGTTAAAACAGCAAAAGTAAGAGGGAATTTAAGGTGTTTATTTAATGTTTATGTGAAGCGAAACGTGAAGCTAGTTTGGATCTTCTTTTGCTGCTGGTTCAGTCAATGTTGTTTGAAGATAGATCAAACCTGCAGCTTCAGAATCTAGCGCAAAAAAGACAAACACAAAGAGCGGAGCCGCCGAAGTGTGAAAATGTTTCACTCAGTACAGTGCGCTCCAGCTGTGAGGCTCCAGCTGCTGTTATGCAGCTGATGAATTGGTAATTGTGCACTAACTGGTCCTGGTATTCTCCTAACCCCAAAGCTGTTGCTGCTGAGAAAAATGTAATTTACACAGCTGGAGAAGCAATGTACAGGAAGTACCTCCCCACTCTGCTTTTTCTGATTTCACAGTAGTCCTCCAGTCTGTCTCCCAGTCATTTTCACACATCTCCATAATGATGTTGGTGGTACAGGACCACTGTTTTATCTACTCAGACAATCACTATCAGACACGTAGTAGTAAACAAAACTAAAGTAAACAAAATCAAACATCAACATTTTTATGTATTTCAAGATTTTTATTATTTGTATTGTAATGGCTGATGGATGGTGAAGACTTTGCAATATAACTGTTGTTGTGAATATTTTCACAACAACAGTTATATTTTCACAACTGTTGTTGTGAAAAAAAAAAACCCAACAATCAAATGACCCCCTATGAGCAAGCACATGGCGACAGTGGGAAGGAAAAACTCCCTTTGAACAGGAAGAAACCTCCAGCAGATCCAGGCTCAGGGAGGGGCGGCTATCTGCTGCAACCGGTTGGGGGGGGGGGGGTGTTATTTATATTTTACTGCTGTTAATATTTCCACGTCTCTAACATGCGTGGTGCATAAGGTGCAACAACCTCGTGTTGCTTTTTAATAATAGGGGCACGCTGTGTTTTCTGCGGTTTAATAGGAAGAGGAGGTAGGGGTGGAAGTACATTTTTATTTGTGTTTATGTCCCACGTCTCTAACATGCGTGGTGCATAAGGTGCAACAACCTCGTGTTGCTTTTTAATAATGGGGGCACGCTGTGTTTTCTGCGGTTTAATAGGAAGAGGAGGTAGGGGTGGAAGTACATTTTTATTTGTGTTTATGTCCCACGTCTCTAACATGCGTGGTGCATAAGGTGCAACAACCTCGTGTTGCTTTTTAATAATAGGGGCACGCTGTGTTTTCTGCGGTTTAATAGGAAGAGGAGGTAGGGGTGGAAGTACATTTTTATTTGTGTTTATGTCCCACGTCTCTAATATGCGTGGTGCATAAGGTGCAACAACCTCGTGTTGCTTTTTAATAATAGGGGCACGCTGTGTTTTCTGCGGTTTAATAGGAAGAGGAGGCAGGGGTGGGATTAAATTCTTAGCTGGTGAGTCTTTAGCTACAGACACAACCCTATTTGATTTATTAACAAACAGGCATTCCGTTTTAGGTGCTGTTTGTTCTGAGCTGCTCCGTTGCTGACAACGGAAGAAACCAACCCGATCACTACTGCCAGCCTCACCCCACTCCCGACTTACCCTTTGTACGTCCCGCACTCTCTCTGTCGTTGGTCGGATTGTGTGCTCCCAGCCGTTGTGGAGTGATGGGAGCGTTGCAAACCTGACGCATTTTTTCTCCTTTTTTGTGGCTTCTTTTTCAGCCCGCAATTCTTCAGTTGTGCAAACCTTTGCACGGGAAACGTGATCGTTAGCTCTACCATAAACGTGAGACATATTTAATAACGGTTGACTTTCAGCAGTATTTTAGACTCAGCGATACTTTAGACGGACCAACTTTGGAGTGCACTGGTGTAGAGTGTCGCCAAGGCTCTATTTATGCTATTTGGGAGCTCCTTCGAAGCACCTTTGTTGTGACGTTGCAAAGGCCTTTGATGTGACGTTGCAAAGGCCTTTGATCTGTCCGAGCTTAAGCCCCGCCCCGTTGTCTGTGACGGTTCTCAGGCTGTGGCAGGGTCTGCACGCTTGAAGTACGCGCACTACGTACGGTGCGTACTATAAGTACGAGACGTGCGGAAGTGAGAGGCTTGTGAAATGGGACGGTCTAGTCTCCGTCGCGCTTCCCAGGTTGCCTAGCAACCATGATACTAACTGCTGGAAACGTGTCATACAACTTTGTTTGACAGAAATGAAGGAGAACATATTTTGTTCATTTGTTTGTTTGTTTCTACAAGAGCTTTGTGTGATTTGATAAGTATCTGAGGCTGAGACCACAGGACAGTAAAACATGATTTTTGGGCTTCATTTCTGTACTGAACAGTCATTTAAGATTAGTTAGTAAATAAGAATTAGCTAATG